CTTTCCACCCACGTGCTGCATTGGAAGCAAAATTTTGCAAAACCAGCCTTCTGCTTATAGTGAGATTCGCGGCATTTGTACACATGCTCCCACCTTCTTGCTGCTGGTATGCTAGTGCACAGGGTCAGCAGCAGGAAACATAGAGTGGCTCTATTTCGCTTCGGATAAATTTACCTGGCCATCTTCCTGCCGCACGAGGGAACCGCACAGTGGCCATTGATGGGCCTCATGACGGCCTGATATGCCGTGCTGTTGTCATCCCTACGCAGGGCAACAAGATCCTTCAATGCACAGACCCATTCCGGGCTTCGCGGTGGCGCCCGCAACACCATCGTTTCAGCAAGGCGCAGGCGTTCAGGAGGCAGCATATGAGAGATGCGGCGGAAATGATTTCGGCGCCAGTCTTGCTGTAGATGCGGTTCTTTACTCGGTTCGTAATTGATCTGTTGGTTGGTCTGAATTTCTCCGAGCATCTTTCTTTCGATTGCTTTCCGTCGATCGTACTCCATACTCCGCTGTGCTTTCAATTGGTCTTTCTCGTCCGTGGTGATGGCTTCACTTATCCGCACATTGAGTTCTTCAATCCGCTGAGTCAACACTTTGTAATCTGCGCTGTCACGAAGCTCTTCTCGGTCTCTGGCTGATAGTGACAATGGAAGATTTGGATTCCACCGCATGGTTGCAGATCGGAAGTCTTCTGCGAGGTCTGTCCTTTGTCGCATCTTGAGGTATGTTCCTGCGCCGTCCACTGTAGATATGTTCCCGAGATAATGGTCGACTAGAACACCTGTGTTATGTTGAGAAGCAAAACGAAGTACTTGACCAAGAGAGTAGCCTTTATCTGTAGGGAGTTAGATGGGGTGCCTTCTTGAGATGGGACGTAACCCGTCTTACCATTGCAATTGATGAGGATCTCTCGGCGAGGCGCATGAAGTCCCAAGCCTGTGGTGAGGCCTGCTCGCTTTGCCCATTTTGACCCGTCCGTGCCGAACGAATCTGGGCTTCGTGACTCGTCCGCAGGGCCTTTGCCAGTCCACTTGGGAAATACAGGCTTTTCTAGCATGCTGTGGTCCCATTCTATAAGTCGAAAATTTCCGTTTCGAGGAGGCTCCAGGGCAAGGGCCTGCTCAACCGTCTCGAGTTCAGGAGATGCACCTGAAGAGATAAAATTGGCAAGCCAGTGCAAGAGCGGTTGGGCAAACAGAGGCGGTGGAATCTCGTCTGGGCCTTCTATTTGTTCGGCGAATGGGTGTTCAGGTCTGCCTTTCATTTAGTTTTTGACTTCATTGCGAAGACAGGGGGTCTTACTGATTCTTATCTGTCCCTTTGCAGATTTCTCTCGTGAACTTTAGTTTGAACTCTGGTTTCCCTTTCGTCCACGAAACCAGGAGTACCAGATCCTGACAGGGTTTAGTCGCAAAGGTCAGGCAGCGATCCAGTGAGGCAGGGGGGACCGTACCTGATACCGTGCTTGGCACACTTCTTGACGCCTCGCTGAGGTGAAACAGTGGGTATTAAAGATATTCGCATAGTCTGCGCGGCATCCGTCGTGTATATAGTCATGATAGTCGCCACACCAGTAATACTTTTGCATGTGGACGTAATTCTCGATGGTGAGGAAAGTCTTCGTCTTTTGGCCTTTCTTGCCCGTGAGTAGTCCGATTTTCTTTGCCAGCTCGCCTTCGATATACTAGTCCTCGGGTTAGCATGGAAGCCGCCAGATGTAGAAGGAGGGCTAACCGGGGCCATAGATCGCTTCACATCTTGAGGTATAACCGTATTGTGCTCGCGCTGCCAAGCATTGCAGAAGCGTCTCATTTCCACACGCACGCTCGCTGGGGTCGCGCGGCCTTGGCCCGCTTTGTGGAGCCTCCCTTTTGCTGTTCGGGCAACGCACTCGGCAAATTGCTTCAACGTCTGGATGTTCGTCGGTGTCGAACCAGGGAATGCCTTCTCAAACCTTGCAACTTGTTAGCTGACACCAAAGGCCGTCAGGGTTAATGAACTCACGCTTTCCACAAAACCAATGCCTTTCTGTATCTTTGCGCGGTCTTCTCATTAATGTTTCGGTGCACGATGTGGGCGTTGATTTGACTTGGGTCTGTAGGCATGCCATCCTTGATGGCAGCTGCCACCCGCCTGTCGGCATCTTCCTCAGAGCTCCTTCGTCGGTCTCGCATTGTACAACAATACAGGACAGAGGTTGCCCGAGCGCCAGACTAGCGAGACTGTCAAAGCTGCGCGGTGAACCACTGCGTGCGTTGTGCCGCCGGCAGAAACACAGCGCGAGCAAGTGCGGATGCCGGCAAATATATAGCCTGGAGGCAGGTTGTGCGTGTGCCGTGGCACACTAATTATACTCGGAAAGCATCGGCATCTGCCAGTATGCGGCGCCCATCATGGTGAGCTTAAACGCAGCTCATGAAGAGCTCAGGGCGACTCAGGGTGGCTCAGGGTCGGCTCAGGGCCAGCTCAGGGCAGCTCCCTGAGCAGCCTGCTTAGCGCCTGAGCTGGACACCATTAAAGCAGCCTTGGGCGCAGGGGTGCAAAAAGTCGAAATTCGGATCTTGTTACAATCTGTTCTATTGCACAGGATGCGCGGAGAAGACTGGTTATTCAGAAGTAGCTCAGGTCAATTGATGAGGGTTTTGGCAGCGTGATCGCTTTGTTCTCATATCGATACTGACGTGGCTTGGCCAGAAACTTGCGAGCAGTGACGACGGCCGGTGAGCAGCACAACGCGGCCGGGTATCGCTATGTGTGTGTACGTGCTGTTTGGGGGGATTGCGACCTCATACTTCTGCCTCCAGACCCTCCCGGCTGTCTATTAGCTCGCGACATGCGAGGAGACTCAGCATCTTGTTGGCTGGCTGGCTTGAGAGCAGTTCGCGTTGTAAACCAACTACATAGTCCATCTTGGCCATGGTGTGGCCCGTTAATGCCAGATGCATGATGGTCGGCGTAGAATACATGATATATTGTTCGGCGAGATGCACAGCATCCTACCAGCGTGTGCCAGACCGGTCTCCTACACACTAGAGCTGCCACTTGAGTCTAATCGGGTGTGAACTCGCCCGCGCAGAGATGACATGGGCGCTAGGTTCTGTGTGAGCGCTGGGTTTAGAATGACATGGTCGCTCAATCGCCGCGGTGCTGCTTGACCGGACAATAGCTGCACACCTCGCAACGGCAATATATGGTCTCACAGACGACTTCCAGAGGATGACTGTGACCGCTGGCGAGTGAGCAACGAGGTTCGGTGGAAAAGTCAGTGGCGACTGTCTGCTTTTTCCCTTCGCAGCCTCGCGGCTGCAGGTGGTCCGAATTGGCTTTGCAGCTGGCGCAGGGCTGCAGAAAATGGACCCTACGGCACGCGAGGAAGTTACGGCCTCGGAGCGTGACTTCTGGAAGAGGTTGAAGGATCTGGTGTTGGCACCTGTCCATCACTAGCTATTGCCCGCTTATTGCCGGCATGGAGCCGCTAATCTCTCACTTCCCCCTCATGGCTGCGGGTTTCAGATATTGGCTTTGCGAGAGTGCCTCGTGAATCTTTCAAATCAGGAGCTGGACGATGGACGATGGACGGCGTGGCAGCGCAAGGAGCTGTTGCGGTCATCAAGCACGGCTGCCAATGATGGAAGTCCGGGGGAAGAGGTGGGGTTGGGGTTGCTGTGGGTGCTGTGGGTGCCAGGGGCGTTTGCCACCCCACGCCTACCGACGGCCACAAGTGGCCTTGCATGCATGATCTTTACGTAAACGATAAGGATCGTCAGGAACTGGCCGACGCAGCTTTGTGGCCTGCCGTGACAGGTTTCTGTCGTGGGGGTGGCTGGGAACTAGGGGCGATTGTCCACTTTTGGCCAACTTGGGTCTGCTACGACCACCCCCTCCCCCGCTTCGGGTGGTCAGTTGCGGCCTTGCACGACCTCCTTCTGTACATCATCAGAACTCATCACGAACTGGACGATTCAGGTACGCAGGGAGCTTGTGGCCTTTTACCATGGCTTCCAGGAATGGGGATATCACGGCTGGCTTTGGCTGCGGGGATGAGTTTCTGGGGGTGTGGATGGGGTCACTGAAGTTCACCTTTTGCCACCAAGGTGTACTATTTCCGCACCTCCTGGCCGACCGGGCTGCAGGTGCCGTAGTCGACAAGATGACCACTTGGGAGCTGACCCGCCCTTTGCCCACATCAGGACAGAAGGCTGGTTTCTGCTTTTCGGTGCCACTGGCGTTGCAATGTCTCCAACTGGGCAACTGGCCCTTCGGACGCGGCGGCAGCCTACCGCGCAGCATCTAAACATCCAGCACCAGGTCCTGCGAAGCCATAACGTCCTGCATAGAAGTGAACGCACCCACGTCACGACGAGAAGGTGACATGGCCTGTAGCAGCCTACAACATGCGGAAACTAGACGGCAAGAAATGATGGACGCGGCAGCACGAGATGCCACCAGACGATGTTGACAAACCGGCTTTCAGCTGCGATGTACAGTAGCGTGCACCTGGAGAATTGTGCCAAGATCGCATGTCCTGACGGTGATCTGCCTCTTGCCGCCATGGGGTGCAATTCCCGCACCCCCGACCCGGCCGGTAGTCGACAAGATGACCACTAGGGAACTGTAACCCCTTTACCCACTAAAAGGAAGGCTGGTTTCTGCCTTTGCCTTGCGGATTTCCGGTTTCATTCTCTCCAGCTGGACAAGTGGCCGCAACAGGCGTGATTTTGCCGCGAGGGCCGTCGCATCCATGTGCCGCTATGGCGGCTTGTTGCCGCGAACTATTCTGGCCTTGGGTCACTTACGTTCATAAGAGCCACACAGGCGTCATGGGCGAAGCAATGTCCAAATACAACTGCCTCTATCACCACCCCGTCTCAGACCAGCTTCTGGACACATCAAAAGAACGCTGTAAATCCCTGCACCTAGAAATGGGACACCCTGTCATTTGGGACACCCCGAAAACCATGGCCCATTTTCACGACCACCAATTCAATCCATTCTCACCACCCACCCACGGCTACTACGATACAATCGTCCCCGATTTCTGAAAGTTCATCTTCGGTTTCATCAAGAACTTCATTCTCAGCTGCAATGACCTCCGCCTGCGCCCGCCGCACTGCCTCAATGTCGGCGAACCTCGAGTTCGGGTTCGTTTCCACCCTCTTCCTCTTCTTCGGCTTCACGGCCGCCAACTGTGTTTCCAAAGCTTGAATTTGTAATTGAGCTTTTGCCAATAGGCCATCCTTTTCATCAAACCCTTTTGTAATCTTTCTGAACAGCAGCCGCTTTGTGGGCACATCGTCGTCAAGCTGGTTGAATTGAAGCACTTGCACCTTCAGATCTTGAGGCCGCCGTGGAGTCGACCACGCAATCTGCGATGCGTCTGATTGCCAACCCGACGCAGAAAATGGGCCTCTGGAAGTCTCAGGCGTGTTTTTTGCGTCCTTCTTGCGCTTGTTGCTGTTCTCCAGCAGGAGAGGGCTCAAAAGTGGCTTTGCCACCGACACCGGCCATAAACCCGTCGCTTTCCAGTCACCCTTGGTGATGGACGTCGTGAGCGCTTGCTCGCGTGCTCTCTGGTAGCAGGAAAGGAAGTTTTGCTTGCCAACCGGGCTCGAATCGGTCAACAGGCTGAGAAATCCGACCTGTTTGCGGTAGTAGTGCTTCAGAGGGGAGAAGACGGACAAATCCAGCGGTTGCAACACATGAGAGGTATGAGGAGGCAGAACAAGAAGATGGATCTTATGCTGGTAGCATAATACATGAAATCGACTGTCTCATGGCTCCCGTGGCCGTCCAATACGAGCAGTCTTCGCTCCGAAGGGTCGGATGGCTAGGTCCTCGGGATGAACACCTTCTCCAGCCATTCCACTGCGGTCTGGTCTGAGATCCAACCGTTCTTTGTCGCAGTGAATTGCCAGTCGCTGAAACGACTTAGATCATCGGGAAACCACTGCTGCTGGACTGATTTACCCTTGAAAATGACGAGAGGAGGTAGGAAGGTGCCCGTGGCGGACACGCACTCGATGAACGAGGTCCAGACGCGAGAACCAGGCGTTTTCCTTTGAACAGATCGTTTTTCAGCGTTGCGTACCACTAGGCCATTCTCCACGAGCCCTTCCATGATGCCTGCTTCGTCCATGTTGTACCTGTGCTCGGGCTTAATGGCCTGAATGTCAGGAAGGGAGAAATTGTTGTCGGTAGACGCGCCATTGACACGCGCCGAATCTTCTTGGTGGCACTTCTGTGTCCGAATTGCAGGATTTCGTCTCAAAAATGCTTGCATCCAATGTTTTCCGAGCGGGACGTGGTCGCCTCTGACGGCCAGCATGCGCTGCGCGAACTGCTTGATCTGCGAGTGTGTGGGGGGAGGCCCAGGGCGTCCTGGAGGAGAACCCATTCAGTAAGCCGATTCTCCTGCGTCTGAGAGAGCCTCTGAAGAGGAGAAAACGCATCCTTTCTGCATTCGTGGCCATGCAGGCGGTTGAAGAGTGTCATCCTTGGTACACCCCACTCCGCCGAGGCCTTTCGTACAGATTGGCCGTTGGCGACCGCCTCAAGCGCCTGGCTAATATCATACTCAGTATATTGGGGTGCCATTATTTGGAGAACGCATGTATCAGATTACAGTCAATTGAGATGCGATTAACGGAGCAATTGAGAGTGGAAGTTGACGGGGTGGTTGGGGAAGCGGGGTTTGGAGAGTGTCCCAAATGAGGGGGTGTCCCATTTCTAGGTGCAGGGACTTATCATCGCCTTTACTGTACCTGGGCCATGCCGGCCGTGGCAATAATTGTAATTGGATAAACGGACATGCCCAGAAGAGGGCGTTGCTACCGTAAGTCCGTAATGTAAACGTGCAGTAACGGCTAAGTGCTCAACATTGTGGCGTTGCTGGCCCTACTCTAGACTTGCGTCCACATGCGTGTTCCTCGTGGTCACCATCGGACGCGGCAGCAGCTTATCGACCTAGAGCTGCACACCCAGAATCAGGCCCTGTGGCCCCATAACGTCTTGCGTAGAATGGACACACCTCCACGCAATGACGTCGGGAAAGTGACATAAGCTGTAGCAACCGATACGCATTCGCAGGGGTTTCTGCCGTCTAACTGCCGACTATGGCGATGGCGGACATTGTGCAAAGCTTGACAAGCAGATCACCGTAGCACACGCGGTCTTGGCACATGCTTCGGGTACACGCTACGTCGCAGCTAAAGTCGGTTTCCTGACGTTGTCTGGTCGCATCTCCTGCTGCCGCGTTCGAGCTGCCGCGTCCGTCGCTTCCTGCCGTCCAGTCTCTGCTTGTCGTCGGCTGCTACAGGTCACGTCACTTACTCGACGTCGTTGCATGGACGTGTGTCCACACCTCATTTGTCGCGCCAATTTGCAGTGTGGCGAGTAGCGGCTACCAGATCTCTAGAGGTCCCACCGGTGATCGATCGTAGGGCGAGGAGCCAGTGACACCAGGGCAATGCCGCCAGTTTCCAGGTCGGAGAGTACGCTGGGAGAGGAGCTTTGGGGGTGTGGATTCGCTGGCAGAGCATTCCGCTGCCTGGGAATGGGTGGCAGGCTTTGTCGTCATGTTTCCTTGTGCAACATCGCCTCCCAGCGCAGCTCAAACGGCTGCAGCGCGCTCTGGCTTTGGATACCTGTTCACTAGCCTGTCTCGCCTCCTGTCCACGGTCTCAAGCCCGGATGACAGGATCTCATTGGTGCCAAGACTCGTTTCGATACTGTACACGTGACTTCTGTTTGTTTGCTTCACGTGAAATGAAACATCCATATCATTTCGGAGGACATAAAATGTATCGTACCCGTACATTTTAGAGAGATTGCTCCGAGCGAGCTGTATTGGATATTGGCGACTTTGTCATCGACAGTCCCCTGGCAGAATCTATTGGCAGAATCCACTGGCAGAATCCACTGGCAGAACCAAGCACCCCTGCGTGCTTCAGCAGAAATACTCGGCGACGTGGACGCCGCCACTTGCGCGCTCAGCAGCAGATGAGACTAAATGCAATCTGCAGACGTGCCCTGCCTACCAACAAGAAGCTTGGTTCGCCGGCCACCGCCATGGCTCGCAGTACGAATCCTCCGACAGCGTTGGTTTACAGGTTGGGGCGACGAACTGCATCAACTTCGACAACTTTCGGCATGGCCAGATCGCGCGCCTGCTATGTGCAGGTTTGCTTGGTACGGTGTGGGATGCACTGGCCGCCAGCCACTTCCGATGTTGTGTCAAATGGCAGAAAAGAGAATCACGTGCGCTCCACGCCAGGCATCAATGCGTCGGACAGTGTGGGGCAGCTCACCCGCTGGATCCCGTTGCGGAAACCGCGCCTTCCTGAGTGGGATCCACGAACATGCAAATAACTAAATAAGAACAGAAAGCCCTGACGGAGGCCTGCGGTTCGATCATCCACAGACATGAGGGAACGGCTCAGGTTAAATAACTCGCAACGCTCCCATTTTTTAGCCAACGCGAACGCATTGTAACTTTATGAAGCACTGTACATTGTACGGGGCACATGTGCAAGTCGTTATCTCAAGATACCTCGTGCTTCTCCCGTCTTGCTTACGAGCGAGTCGAAAGCCGACGACGGGTAGCGCGGCTTATGGTTACTGATTGGTACAGCATTTATTCAAGTTTCTTGGAAGTTCTGACGAGGGCATAAACGATTCCAAAGTCCAATGCTGAAATTTTACGTACTTATTGGAATCATCTGTACGTAGAAACGGATTTCTATATGATACATACTGTACATTATGTACTAAATTCTTACTTAAACGGAGATGGTAGGCTATCCCCGGCAGGACACAGCCAGAGACGCCAATCAGAAAGAACGACAGGTACAGTGGTGCTTACGAGAGCGCTTGCGCATGCGCAGTGTCGCAGTACTTGCACCTGAAGCCTACTTAACGTATAAATTTGTACAGAAAGCTCGGCAACGGTCCGTTGCTTTGAGGAATCAGCTTTGAGGAATCAAGATACCGCCGCCGATCAGTTTGTTGTGGGTGAACCAAAGGCTACATCATCCACCAAGACCCCGGCTGCCCCTATGTCGTCCAGTTCCTGAAGGTCTGAGGGCTGCATGTGACGCCCTTAGAGGACAATATTGGTTATCTTTCGTCCAGTGAAGGCCCTGGCAATACTAGAGGCGCGGGTTGATAACAACTCGACATTAATTCGGTAGGGAATCGGCATCGTTTACGGTGATAGGACTTACGCGATTGAGGCCGTACATTAAGCAGCCCCTGGAGTTTCCATGCCAAATATCACGGCTTCTGCGCTATCTGATACCGTTACGGTCAACTTCGACCCAGCGGCCACTTGCACAATGGGCACCATGCAGGGCTTTGGCTGAGATATAGACGCACGCTAACGCTGAGCATATATTTATGGGCATTAACGCGATGTGCTGTACGCTATCAAGTGGGTTGCCTCTTGCGGCAAAGCTCAACGACAAGTCTGTCACTTAGGGTACCGCTCTAATAGTTGTAGGTCATCTCTGACACGGGCGATCTACGCAAAGAAGCAACTTGGCGACTGGACTACTTTGTCGAAGTGGCTTAACTGTCTCCTATGTCGGTCAAATTCAGCAAGTAGTGTTAGAGTATTCCTTCAATTTGGTAGCGATTCAAGCACTTCCCATCATTGGCCAAGCATAGCTTTCCGCCCGAGCTTCTCTTCCCTGCCGCTGTGTCCATGCAGGACCAAATGATAGCCTCCATCGCATCAAAGCAGCAGAGCTTCGCCTCGTTCCAGCTACCGTCGTCGTAGAATCTGTACCCATAGGCATGGCGATTTCTAACGTAAACAGCATTCTGTGTCCCCTCTGTTTCGCATATTTGGGCCCTCACATCCCACACGGTGTCCCATACGCTTTGTGGCCATGGGTTATAGTTTTCGCCAAAGCATTCCACCCTCCAGCGAAGTTCGTCAAGGGAATGAGTAGGACAACTGGCCAGTCCGGGCCAGGTAAGACCGAGCAAGACCGTCGCCGTGTAGAGCCACGAAGTTGGTGGACCCATTCTAACTATTCAACGGTCAATATGGCTTGAATACGTTCGGGTACTTAATCTTCCGTACGGTTGCAACGCCCGAGAGAGATGCCTTCAAGCTTTGGGTTGCAAAATAATGAACTAGAGAGGCGCGGTAAAGTAGAGACAAGAAAAGACGGAGCGTCAAGGATTAAATATCTCTGCTCACCCACATTGTTCCGACTAAGGCAAGCATATCGGTTCACATGAAGAAAAATTGTTCATTATCCAGGGTAACGTGTTCTGTACGCTCGCTGCTCGTCCTACAAGTGTACCTCTGATTCTGCCCGTCACGATTCCATCCATTCCGCACCTACATAAAGTCGAAAACGGTGGACACGTGGGCTAAGCAGCGCCTATTGGTACAGCACTGCGCAAAAGTCATTGGAAGCTCCACCTTGTTATAAAAGATTCCAAAGACGATCACCCTACCAATTGGAATCTTCTACAGAACAAGCCATAACCATTGAATAAGAGCACTAAAATCTCACAGGCAACTATGATGCACTGTACTGTAGGCCCCTGCCGAACGGAACAACTACGAACCGGTGACATGTATAATGGTGCTGACGAGAGCGCTTAGTGACATTGTGCGCTCTGCCACAATGGGAAGGGATGTGCTGGACTGTGTTACCATTGCTACGGCACAGGGTCAAGGCACACAGCGAAGCGTACCTATATATAACATTGTTATGTTTCGCTGGTTGACTCTAACGGCACATCCTCAACCCAGAACTTGTCAACTACAGCTCAAGAATCATCATCTCACCACAATGCTCTTCCAATTTGTTGTTGCAATGGGCGCCTTTTTGCCGTTGGTTTTATCAACCCCGGTGTCAACTTCCCTTTGTGACAACCTTTGTCCTGGAAATTGCTTACCAAGACCAGGAGGGGGCACCGAGTGCTGCATCGATGTGGTGGATAAACCGAGTAGCTGTACCTGCGACGGCTGCCGATTTATTCCGCCACAGGGCAGTTTTGGACAGGCCCAATGCTGTTCTCCTATCACAGGGTAGATGAACATGCCTGCCTGTCTGTCACTGAGCCGGTATCGACCAAGCATGTCTCGCCCATGTTCCATATAAAATCGAACTTTACTAGCCGTCTCGCTCGACAGCTTAACAACGTCTATCACCTTGCTATAGGAACTTGGGTGAAGGTTAGCAGTTCGGTGTTGGACTATGGTCTACACGTGATGGTCGACCACGATTCTGAGCTATGGTCTTGGTGATGGGCAGTACAAGTCGCGTGGCATTCCCGAGAGTTCTTTCAGATGTGGGGTGCGGCATGTGGGTCGACTGCAAAGCGATCGGCTTATTGGGGCTTTCTACTAGTAACTCTCGATCCTAAAGCTAGTACAGTACACAGGGTCACTATCACATCAGGCAAAGTTGCATTTTAAACAGTTGCATTTACAACCTCACCACACAAGGGCACAGTTGAGTTGTCGTGTCGCGGCAGCGTAAATTTAGGTGCAGCCAATCAATGTCTTCAATCTGAGTTGCGGCCGTTTCTCTTGAATAGTCAGATTCCGGCTGGTTTGGCCGCTTGGTGGAATA